CTCATTCTCTAAATTTAAAATGCACATACCCTGAAAAGTCACAGGCATCAGTGCTCTGGCTGGCACCAGAATCTGCTGTTTCATGTAACGACATCAATAATTCCACCACAATCTCTGGTAAATTACTAATAAATAAATGATCAATCTGCAAGGACACAAAATTAATTATATTTAATATTTTTTATCTGTAACATTTAAGACAACACAAAGGACTTACGTTATTCAGACATACAGCTAACTTATCTTTTTCTTCTATTCAGCCAACCTGAAACCATGAAATTGAGAAATTCTACCAAATAAAGCCTCCTTAATCCAATTCTGTAATTTTAAAGGATTATTTCAACTAAGACTTTGAATATAGCATTAAATTCCCAAAAACTGGTAATTCTCCTACCAAATTCCCTTCTGATCTATACTATACCTGAATCTGCATTTTTTTAATATTTATTTTTTAGATGTAGTTGGACACAATACCATTATTTTATTGATTTATATGTGGTGCTGAGGATCGAACTCTGCATGTGCTAGGCAGGCGCACATACAGTCCCAAGCCCAGCCCCCCTCAGTCTGCATTTTACCCTCGATTTATATGAAAACTCACAGAACTTTACTTGGAAAATTTTCCAGGGACTATGATAATGCCAACTTTGTGCCCCAAATGACTTCTCCCCAGAATTCTACATGGGTGATATCCAAATTCTGAGGCTAGCTGCTACCTATATTCCATTTCATCAATAGTAGACTAAAGCTGGGCATGGTGGCACACACCTGTAATCCCAGCTACTTGGAAGGCTGAAGTAAGTTCAAAGTCAGCCTGAACAACTCAGCAAGAACCTCTCTCAAAAATAAAAATAAAAAGGCAAGAAATAATTAAAATCAGAGATGAAATCCAAACAAAAGAAACAATTGAAATGATTGACAAAATTAAAAGTTGGCTCTTTGAAAAAATAAATAAGACTGACAGACCCTTAGACATGCTAATAAAGAAGAGAGAAAACCCAAATTACTAGCATATGTGATGAAAAAGGCAATATCACTACAGAAATACAAAGGATAATTAGAAATTATTTTAAAAAGTTATACTCTAATAAAATCAAAGATAGTGACGACATCGATAAATTCCTAAAGTCATATGACCTGCCCAGATTGAGTCAGGAAGATATACACAACTTAAATAGACCAATATCAAGTGAAAAAATAGAAGAAGCCATCAAAAGATTACCAACCAAGGAAAGCCCAGGACCAGAAGGATATAAAACAGAGTTTTACAAGACCTTTAAAGAAGAACTAATACCAATAGTCTTCAATCTATTTCAGAAAATAGAAAAAGAGGGAGTACTTCCAAATTCATTCTATGAGGCCAATATCGCTCTAATTCCAAAACCAGACAAAGACACTTCAAAGAAAGAAAACTTCAGACCAATATCTCTAATGAACATAGATGCAAAAATCCTCAATAAAATTCTGGCAAACTGAATACAAAAACATATCAAAAAGATTGTGCACCATGATCAAGTGGGATTCTCGTCACATTAATAGACTTAAAAGCATTTGAGAAAATTCAGCACCCCTTTGTGTTCAAAACACTAGAAAAACTAGGGATAACAGGAACATATCTCAACATTGTAAAGGCTATCTACGCAAAGCCTCAGTCCAACATCATTCTAAACGGAGAAAAACTGAAGGCATTCCCTCTAAAATCTGGAACAAGACAAGGATTCCCTCTTTCACCACTTCTATTCAACGTAGTTCTTGAAACACTGGCTAGAGCAATTAGATAGACAAAAGAAATTAAAGGAATAACTATAGAAAAAGAAGATCTTAAACTAGCACTATGTGCAGACAATATGATTCTATACCTAGAAAACCCAAAAAACTCCAACAGAAAACTTCTAGAACTAGTAAATGAATTCAGCAAAGTAGGAAGACATAAAATCAACACCCATAAATCAAAGGCATTTCTGTGTATCAGTGACAAATCCTCTGAAAAGGAAATGAGGAAAACTACCCCATTCACAATATTCTCAAAAAAAAAACCCAAACCAAAACAAAACAAACAAACAAACAAAAAAACTTGGGAATCAACTTAACTACAGAGGTGAAAGATCTATACAATGAAAACTGCAGAACCATGAAAAGAAGACCATAGAAGATGGAAAGATCTACCTTGCTCCTGGATAGGCAGAATTAATATTATCAAAATGACCATACTAACAAAAGCATTATACAAGTTCAATGTAATTCCAATCAAAATCCCAATGGCATTCTTCATAGAAATAGAAAAAGCAACCACGAAATTCTTCTGGAAAAAGAAGAGACCCAGAATAGCTAAAGCAATCCTTAGTAGGAAGAGTGAAACAGGTGGTATCGCTTTACCAGACCTTAAAGTATACTACAGAGCAATAGTAACAAAAATGGCATGGTACTAGCACCAAAACAGGATGGTAGACCAATTGGTACAGAAGAGAGGACAGAGAGACTAACCCACAAAATTACAACTATCTTATATTAGACAAAGGTGCCAAAAGCATGCACTGGAGAAAAGATAGCATCTTCAACAAATGGTGCTGGGAAAACTAGAAATCCATATGCAACAAAATGAAATTGAATCCCTCTCTCTCACCATGCACAAAAGTTAA